TCTATACTGTTTGCTTACTGGAAGAGCATAGTTTCATGACCATTTTGGGATCATGACACATTCTTCTTCTCAGTTCGCTCACAGTTATTTTTCCTTGTTCACGATCATTGAAGAGTTCCTAACAACTGTTTTTTTACACGTTTGCACAAAAAAGTTACCAGAACAGCTTCACGATGCATTATTCCTCAATATTCTTGCTTTCCCTGATACAATTTTCCTGGACTCAGTCCCTTACTCCATTTCTAAGTTGGTACTGACATTGTGACCCTGCTGACGAGCAACATTTCTCACTAATTACTGCCATAGGGGAGCGTGCGACGTCGCTGTCTCATTTGATATGCCCAAAGGAGACACAAATCTTCCGTAACTCATCCCGAAAAAGAAGTTGCGGTCGTAATTAATCGATGATCGTTAACAAGGAAAAATAACTGTGAGCGAACTTAGAAGAAGAATGTGTCATGATCCCAAAATGGTCATGAAACTATGCTCTTCCAGTAAGCAAACAGTATAGAAATCAAGTTTTAAGCAACTGCAAAAAAACTCACCAATGGTTTAGTAGCTCCGCACTTGTACAGAAAGGCAATGAATAAGCAATGGTCAATATACAATATTAGTAGTGTGGTTTCAAAATAGTTGGTAAGGCCAAAGAAGTCGAAAACCCGCTCAAAAACGGAAGAGAATGGGTGGTTGGGCGACCAGTACGCAATTCGGCGTCTACGGAGGCGTCCTACTATTGTGGGTCGATCAATGATGCGAGTCAATTACGTAGCTGTGGACGAGTTCTCCGGTCCAAGGGAGCGGCTGCCCAGGCTCAGGGAGGTGTCAATTAGCGTCCAGCAGCGTCCCAGTTACGGTAGGACAGCTGCCAGCCACGCCATACGACCGCCTCCCCGGCTGTGACAGGAGATTATTCGGCAATTTTAGCCATGGAGCGAGAATTTCCAGCTGAGTTAGGTGTCTTTGAAGGACCATAACTTCCTCAAAAGCGGACCTGTGGGGAAGAGGAGACCGTACTCGTGTAGAGGAAGGTTTGCACTTCCTAAAAGTACTAAAACGTTTATGAACGTCGCAAAAATCACAGAGAAATCTGCCATAGGGATTCGTTGGGGAGTGATTTCAACTGAACAGGTTTGAATCAATATATTTTTTTGTAACTCAACATTTCACAAATCTGAGAATGGTTTCGAGTGTTTGAAGATTTTCTCTTTCTAAAAACCTCTTGAACTGTTTCTGAAGCTCTCGGGATTCATGAGATCTCGCTATGGGGATTTCTTGAGGAACACTCCCAGCTGCGCGAAAAACCCGTTTCCTGTGTACCGTTTCAAGTGAGCGTGTTCGAATAGCCAGGAACGCATGTAGAACGTATCCTGTGGTGGAGCAGGAGCAGGATATGGTTCGTTTAGCGCCGATCACGCCAACTTTGGATGCGCCGCGCACTGAGGGCCGCGCAGAGGTGATGGGATGGTGCAACTTGTGCGTAATGTCTGTTCACAATCGGTCAAATGTGTCTATAAGGTTCAGGGAGGTCCACGGCGAGCCTGTGCACTTGTTTACAGTGTTTTCCGTTGCGTATGATGGAACATGTCCCTGTCAACGCTGCCAGATTCGTGCTCCGCCAATCGCTGACTCCGATAAAGGAGACCAACTGCTGGAAAACGTCTGATATGAACGATATGGTAGTCCTGTCGCTTGTCGAGAAAAAAACAGGTGGCTCAGCGCCAAGCGCGACCGCGGACACGCCATATCATTGGCAGCGAACCAGAGTTTGAGTTGTACTGTTTAGTCACCAACGGACTTACGAGATAATGTCGACTTATTAATATTTGCAGTTATTTCGGATTAGTTTGATGAATGAAAGTTTTGTACTATTTTTTTGCATATCCGAGTTCTCTACAAAGCAAGTTTCGTTGTACAGGACTCAGCACATTGACAATTTGCGCTGCTCGTTACTGGCTGCCGCACTCACTACGACCCCCCCCCTCTCCTGGCGGCCAAATACGACCCCCCTGTTGGGGATTCCCCAACCAACGATGTGCCCTGTTGGAAATATCGATTCAGTAATACTATGTCGTATTTTTTAATGCTGGTTACGTCAGTCGTAATTTGTGTTAAAAGCGATAATCGAGGACTGCACGCATCGATTGGGGCAGGGCGGAGCTAGCGACGTAGGGTCCCGCAACGAATACCTGGCGCCGGCCCAAATTGTTGGCAAATTGCCTCTGCCAGGGAGTAGGAATCAATAGCGCTTCGCCCAACCGCTGTTTCGTCAGCATCGGAGTCAGTGAATAATGCCTGACGAAATAGTGTGCAAAAGAGTATCCCGCGCCACGCGATTCGAATTCGCCAACACAGGAAGCTGAGGGAGACGGTAAAGAGGATCGTAATTCGCCGCACCGCCACGCGCGGCGATGGGCGCGGCGTTTTCATAACTCGTTTTAACCTGTCGAATGAGCACCGGACTTCATGTAGACCCCGTCATCGTAGACAGTCATTACTGTTTTCGGTCCTTAATTGCATTTGTCGCCATCTACTACCTGGAACCATCGTCCTTTGCAGACTAGACGTCGCACGCGACGCCCAGCAGCGCGGCGAATTACGATCCTCTTGTCACATACCCGGAAGTTGAAGCCCATTGTGCACACTCACATCTTCGTGCGGTCGCGTCGCGGTTTCGGGTAGGAGCGCGTTGCCCTCGCTAGGTGGGGCGCAGTTACAGGTTATGCTTCGATTAGGTGACAATGGTGGTACCCCATCTCCGATACTCTGCGAACAAATTCCATTTGTCTTTCACGCAACCAGCACAACGGAGGGAGTATGGCTTTACCGTGGTTTGGTTTACGGTCGTGTCGCTCCGTATCGAAAACTGACCAATACATACACTGTCGCCTAAACCTACATACGGAAAAAATGACGGACGGGTTCTCCAGGGACTCAGTGTATCTGTCAACCAGGAGCATTTCGTCTTGCTGTCTGCGTCTCCCTCACACAAACGAGAAGAACTAAAACGGCGAAAGCGAACAATTTTATCATCCCGCGGTCGCGTCGCGGTTTCCACTCTAGGGTGCGTTATTTCAACTAGTCTAGGCGCGTCCCCACATGTTCATAGTGAGAACGATGTGCTTTCGATGACGACTCATTTGTTGCTGTGTTAGCCTTGTGTCATATTTGTAGGAACTGCGTACAATACCTGGTCAATGCTATTTTTTCATTTCAAGCGATCTTTCCTCGTCTTGCTCTAGCTTGGCAAGGTAAAGGGACAACTAAGAAAGATTATGTTTCAAGGAATTTCGATTAGTAACAGCATCTTTGCATCCCCAAGTAATTTTCGTGTTATGAGGTAGTGTTCCTTCATTTCAGTCTTATTCATGAGCGATTTCTGATTCTGCTACTCTACTATAATACTCGAAGCATGAGGAGAATAAACAACTTTTCTTCACATCGACTTCTCTTTTCTTTCGCTCAACGTTGTATCTGATCTTCCCATCCAGGGAGGGAAAGAGGTTCCTGCTCCTCAATAAGTATTCCCAGAAACCAAGTGAAGACTTGTACTGAGCCCGCATACATATGAGGTAAAACTGACTAAGCCGCACAGGACATTCAAAACTATTGTGTGGAGGACCTTGCTTTTGTTCTTACTCCCTCATTTCAGGCGACAAGAAGGGCTGCAAGCAGCTAACAAATATAATCTCTGAATTAGGCAGCGTTCAGACTTGTAGCGCTACGTAGCGCTACATCGCGCTACAATTGTACCAAACTCCAGCTTCCTTTTATGTTTTTTCTTTCTGAATTCAACCCCTTTCTCTTGTTTCTCATATTTATCTGATGCTGAGCTCCTGTTTTCTACTTTATCACATTTTAATGTAGTTTTTGATAGAGAACACTGTTGATTGACACATTGTCAAAAGTCCCTACCGGAGGCAGAGCAAGGAGGGCCGCACTTGTTGGTCACGAAGAGGAACGAGGAAAAGTCCCGTTCTGTGTTCCATTTATATCAGACGAACTAAGTGCGGCCATACGTTCTTGTGTAAGGAAGGCTGGTCTTCAAGATGTGGTCAGGATTGTAGATATTCCACCTACAAACCTAAAAGGACAACTAGTTCGTAATCGTCTTTATGACCGCCTTTGTACAACTCCTTCCTGCATCATATGTCCGTTCGGAAAGCAAGGGGACTGCATGACATCGGGGGTAGTGTACCTGATCACATGCTGTCTTTGCAAAGAGGAGTATATCGGTGAAACGGGTAGACCTCTTTGTATTCGCGTTAAGGAACACCTAGATGGCATGAAAAAGTCCAAAGGTTGCTACTCCTCTAGGAGAGCATAGGGTACGGTGTCATGACAACATGTGTTTTGAGGTGGCTGTCACGATATTATCACGTGAATCCGATATCGCGGCGCGGAGAACCTTAGAGGCCTTCTGGATCATGGCCAAGAACCCTAAGATCAATAGGAGGGAAGAGTGTGTGGCGGTTACCACGGAGCTGGCGCCCTTCGCGAGTCTGTGCGGGTTTTGATCTACGGGGTCGATCCCCCGAGGTCCGTTGCGGCGGGGTCGGGGGTTGGTACAGTAATCAATAGTATGAGGTTAGACGGGTTTTGCAGTGCGGGTGGCCTGGAGTGACCTTTGGAGGAGTTTGATCTACACGATCGACCCTCGGGAGGTCCTCAGGAAAGTGACCTGGAGGCCTACCTATTTAAGCCGCTTTACCAGTAGGTCGGGGTTATTGTTCTCGTGACGTCATCACAGTAGTTTACGACCCTTTTGAACTTTTTCTGTAGGTTGAAATAGTGTTGGATGAGTAGTATCGAAAATGTCTTCTGACTTTCCAGGCTCTGAAGACGGCGACGACGCCGAAACGTCAGCCGAATAAAGTTTTCATAACAATCTTGGTTGGAGCTAAATCAATCTACTGTCAGTACTGAAGACCATGCCAAGATTTATCGACAGTCGCACTTGGACACTACTTCGAGAAGTACCAGCTAACTACAGTCGACTCGTGATGGAAGTCCTGTCCTTGAGGCAAAAGATCGTCTTGAGTAGACAGGCCATCCACTTCCTCCACCGATGCCTGCGTCAGAAGATCATACCAAACTTCATAAAACAGAAGAAATTGGACGAGACCTTGGGCAAAGCAAGAGGCGATCAACGACTACAGGCACTCGAATTGCATATTCTACGAATGGCGCTGAGGAGCAAGCGAGACTATATGTATACTTTGCTCAACAAGTGTGTATCTAAAGAAATATGCTGTGAAAGACTGCTGCCGAGTCGCCTCTGGAGGAGCATCGTGGGTGAGTCGAAGATCATTTGCGATTCTATTCGTTCTCACACTAAAGTAAAACTACAGGGGAAGTTCAATAGGTTAGTAGACGAAAAACGATGTCACGGGCCACACATGCAAGTCCACAATGAAACCTTTAGGTGTAACCCGGCTACTGGTGGAAGTGGGGGAGATAGGGACAACCAAAGGGTCACTTTGATTGGTAGCGTCAGTTTGTCTGAGGAGGCGCTATCACTCTTGGATATGGGACCTAGTTTCTCTCCCAGCCGCTCGCTATGTAAGACCGTGACGCAGAAAATCGTCGGCAACCTACAATCACTGCACGACAGACTGCGACAAAGGGCCAGGATCGATAGTCGACCCGAGGGGTTTAATACCGTCAGCTGCTGTGGCATACCGCCCCCACCTTTCCCCGCCACATATCTGGGGTCTCAGGAGCCCAACCCAGAAATGGACTCGAAGTTCCGCATTTTCGCCGACTCATTGTTTGCGTTATTGCGTCGTAACATCGGTAAACGAACCTGTCAGAAACCTCACCTCGGCTCAGAGTCGGGGGTTGAAAGAACTTAGAGAGCTCTCACTGTCTGGGGCCATAAAGATAAGCGTGAGCGACAAAGGCGGAGAATTTGTGGTTCTGTCACAGGCAATGGACAGAGCTATCACACGGGCTCACCTTCAGGATAGAACGGTTATTGTCCTTCTACTCATGAAG